ACTCAGCAAGCAATCACACTCTTTACCAGTTCAGCCATCGATAGAGAGACGCTGAAATGTGTAACATACACTCATGCGATGCTCTTCGAGTCCTCCGAAAGAGCAATGCTTATGTTGGGTGGCTCTGTGTACTCCAGCCTCCCAAAACGACATCTAGGATGGCTTCCTCTTAGCCATTGTTTCGAATTTTGCGTCATATTCTGGTGTGTTTCAGGTTCCTCCGCTTTGGATAAATAAAATGATGGGAATTCACTGACATTTGTCATGTTTGCTGTCATAGTGGTCTCGTTATGCGTACCGGAGGCGCCTACCTCTTTTTCGATCGTGCTCGCTCCTCCCCTTCCTCAGCGCCTTCCACAGCATTACCACGTCTTCTTCTTGCAGCGCTGGAGCACCATCATCCGGTCTCTACGTTGGCTGTTGTTCCTTCCGTTTTGATCGAACTCCTACGAATCTCCACCCAACCCGATCTCGACCGACTTAGAGCACTTCACTCATTGGCTGTGGGGGGCGCACGTACTCCTGAAGATCTCTTCCAATGGGCAGCCTCCCAGGGAATACGCTACTTTGACTGTTCTGGTGCCACTGAGGCAGCAGGTACTGTCTGTATTCGCCGAGCCGAGGACCACGATCAACGAAAGTTCGGACTACAGATCATTCCGGGGCTTATGGGGGTATTGGAGAAAGACGACCTGCAGGATAATTTTGGGCTGCTCATCATACGTGGCACCGTGCGTCTTTGATTGAACTTTCTTCAGTTCGGTTGCTTACTTTTCGTTCCGCCCAGTATCTTCCGTCTGGTTACAATCACCGCAAAAGCGGTGCATATCATTTTGATCCAGAGACCGGCGTCACGACCTATCATACCGGAGATCTCTATGAGCACCATCCCGAGACTCCCGCACTCAGCATCGTCAAGGGTGGTCCCTTGCCTCCATATGATCCAACTCTTCCGCCTCTGCGAGGTCAGTATTTGATCAAGGATCTACGGCATAAGCTCACGACGTTAGCAGGTCTATCCTATGTGGGCCGTAACGATGATTTGGTCGTCTTTTCCTCCGGGATCAAGCTCAACGCGCTAAGTTTGGAGCGACTCATTGACGATAACGAAGAAATCGTCCGCTCTGCTGTTGTTAGTAACTTATCCGCAGACGGTCTTCTAGTCTTGGTCCAACCACATCTGGCAGACCGTCTTGCTATTCCTGCAGACACCATTACACAAGCGGTTTTTGTGATCAATCAATCACTACCTTTCGAGAAGAGGATACGCCCCGACCACATTTTCTACGTTCACGAGCTTCCCACCACGACAAAGCATACCTTAAACCGCAAACTGGTCAAGAAGATCCTTTCGAAAGCGCACCATCTTCAAGATATACCTCATCTTTTTCCACCGCCACAGACCGCATCCAAGGATGCTACTCGCAGAATGACCCATGAACCAGATTCTTCGCCACGCGAGATATACAATCGTCTCATTCGGGTTATGTCAAGCGTCCTTCGAATCTCCGAAGAACACCTCTGTAAACCACACTCGACTATTTTAGACTTCGCGCTCTCTTCGTTGGCAGCGGTTCAGCTAGCTCAGGCATTGATGGAGGAGTTTCAGGTCTCAATTGCAGGCGCACACCTTTATGGTGCCCATACCATCGAAGATTTATGCGGCCTCGTTCAAAATCGCCCGCGCAATAGAGATACGCAACCCTTCGCCAGTCAACCGCCCCCAGAATCAAACCTTCTTTCCGTTGCACCAATACTATCACCTTCAAAACTGGCTATACATGTCAGTGGAGTTGCCTGCCGTTATCCTGGAGGCATCGAGAGCTTCGAGTCCTTCGGAGATGCCCTCTTTGCTCCGGATGCGTTCTTGGACCGTGTCTCACAGACTCGTCCAGAGGATAGGTGGTCAAGCTTCGAGAGAATCGAGAGCGATGCGATCTGCCCCATGCGTTGGTTGGATGGTTCTGTGGTTGACACCGTCGATTCCTTTGCTCAATTCTTTCGAATATCGCCTCACGATGCCCGCTCTATGAGCCCCAACGCGCGGTTAGCGCTTCAAATCGGCTACAACGCTATCGAAGATGCCGGTATAGCCCCACAGTCGCTCAGTGGGAAGTCTTGGGGCGTGTTCACGAGTACAAACGACTCTGGTTGGAGGGAGAGACAGATGCGTGCTTTATCTCTGAAAGGTGAAAAATTCCGCCTTTATAGCTTTGTCTTTGTGTCATTGTACTGAAATTCTCTGCCAGATTACGCACAGACCCTGCAGGGCTCTGCTGATGATGCCGTCGGCGCTCGATTATCATATTTTCTCAATCTCACAGGACCAGCGATGGACATCAAGACAGCTTGCTCCAGCAGTGCAGTTGCTGTCCACCAAGGTATGTGCCACGCTCACAGTTGTCATCTATCACACTCATTAGTCTTGTACTAGCATGCAGTTCCATTCGTAACGGTGATTGCGATGCTGCCATCGTCATAGCTGTCACCACGCAATTTTACCCTGCGGGCGCCATTTTTCGAGCTAGCAATGGCATAGTTTCCCCGTCCGGGAGGTGTGCTCCATTTTGCGAATGCGCCGATGGATTCGTTGCCAGCGAAGGAGCCGTAGCGATCGTTCTCCAGAAGTCACACGATGCTCTTACGCCCGCATATGGATCTATCCGGGCGTCGACAGTTACGCAGGATGGAGCTTCTAGAGGGTTTTTCGCTCCGAATCCGAATTCACAAAGGAGGCTTCTAGATGAAGCCCTATCGAGAGCTGAATGCACTGCAGACGATATCACGTTTCTCGAAGGTGCGTTCATTCGAAACTATCGTTGAAATTCAAGTTTAAATGGACGTCCCTGACGTCGGATTATAGCTCACGGGACTGGGACGCAACTCGGGGACTCCGTTGAAATCCAAGCAGTAAACGACGTATTTAGAGGGGTACGTACCAATCCCCTGTATGTGGGGTCCGTCAAAGCCGTTCTAGGACACACTGAGGAATGTGCAGGCCTCACAGGTAAGCAATTCATTCTGCTTTCTTACCCTATACTCTCACACGATCGTGCGAACAGGAGTATTGAAGGCACTTGTTTGCTTCGAGAAGAATTGCATACCGCCACAGCCTCGCCTTGGAGCTTTGAACGAACAGATCGATTTTGACGCGGTACCGATTATTATCCCGTTCACCGCAACCCCATTCTCCCACGGGAACCAGAAGCATATCATCGGAGTCTCCTCCTTCGGATTGTCTGGGACCCTTGCTCACCTCATCGTCGAAGAAACACCTCCCCAGAAAGCGACAACGTCCTACGGGATTATCCAGCGGTCATGTGCACCTAACATCTTCATCGTCACTGCGAATTCTCCCCATGAGCTTCTCTCGATGATTAAGAAGCACAATTTTTTCCTCGAGCACCAGCACTTGCAGCATGCGTCGTTAGCCACTACCTGCAGGACGACACAGGTCGGCCGTGATCATCTGCGTTTTCGCCAATCCTGGGTCGTCGATGGATGGAAATCCCTCCGACACGCTCTCAGATCTTTTTCCACGCCTTCGTCTACCATCCACTTCACAGCCACGCACGTGCGCCCAAGAGTGGGTATCTGGTTCGGAATTCCACTATCCGCCTCCCCCCTCATCACGTCTCAGCATCCACTATACCAAGAAAAGCTGGAATACTGTAGGAACCTCGGATGGGCTGAGGTCTTCGACTACTTCATGCATCAATTCGCGTTGGTCGAAGTCTTGAAGGAATTAGGCTGCATCATCACGGCCGTCGGTGGAGAAGGAATTGCGGAGTATATGGCGGCCGTCGTCGCTGGAGTCCTTCCCGAAAGCGTACCCTTCAGACTACACCAATCAGCGAATGGTGTAGAGAAAGGAGAGCGCTGCTTCGTACGATGTCCAGACTCGAGCGCCCTTGACGAATGTCTTACTTCGTGGTTCCCCGACGAGCTGCGCCGTACGGGTCAGTACGGTTCGAGCTTGTTCAGCATTCACGGGACTGCCGAAGCAGTGGCAACGTTTTGCGAGATGACTTCATTCGAGGTGCTTTCGCAGAGCGACGCCTGGAGCAAAATGCTACTGGGACCCTTCCCAGGTTTGCGTCCTCCAAAGATTCCGATCATCAGCGGCCACCTTGGAGAGCCGCTGGACGAAGAACTGGCACTTTCGCTCAACTATTGGGACAAAGTACAGGAGCGGGAAGTCAATAGCTGCCGAGGGTGGGAAGAACTTGCTCGTGAATGCGATACAGTCGTGTCGCTTGCACAAGGGGATGATATCTTGGCAGTTTTGGGAGACACCAGCATATCGTTGGCGAAAGTGAAGTCGTTGGAGGGTCTGATTTCTGAGCTGTTCATGAGAGGGTGTGAGATTGATTGGGTGAAGTTTTCGGGTAACGGTCCGAGGGCTCGTATGCCTACTTATACGTGGGCTATGGACAAGTAACCTGTATGTTTTGTGTCATTCCATGCCTTCCAATTTAGTCGTCGGTCTCGATTATTTTTCACAGTGCCGTATGTAATGATGTTTTGATATTGTTCGATGATCATAGGCCACGTAATTACTTTTTCGGAAACAAAGAAATAGAGAGAGACGACAAGCTTGGAGTAGGTAGTTAACTCGAGGTAACTATCTTCAACTTCTCGCATTCCCCTACATTAGTAAACTCCGAAGCAGGTTCACGAATTTCTTACGGGAGGAAGGACCAGTCCTTCCTTTACAATCCGTACCGTCGATTATAGACCCCTCCTATAAATTGAAACGACACAAACACTCGCCGATCGTGAGGACTTGGCGTGCTTCTCAATTCATGGCTTGGTACAGGCGATGGGAACTTGGAAAAAGAAAATATCATACGTCTCCAACGATGCAGTAACGGCAGGCAAAAACTTTGATCGAGTACATAACACAAGGTAGCGAGAACGAAGCAGTAAAGGAATGAGCATGAAATATGAGATCTATAAAGCGACTTCGTAGGAAATGGTCCTTGGTGTTAAAGAAAGTCTCAAACTTTCGCAAAGAAGTTGCGATTGATCATCAGCTTGACCGCTAGGATAAGAAACCCCCCTATGATGAGCGCGACACCTGTGTAAATGATAAGACCAGAAAAATCGCCGTGTTGCCGCGTCAGGATGGCACCAGCGATAGGACCTCCGACTAGGGACCTGTATCATGCGGACGATAGTGGATATTAGCGGGAGAATGGAACAAATAAAGAAAATACTGACGGAAATGACAATAGGCTGTACGCCATGCCAATACGAGTGCCGATCTGATCCATACGTGAAATTTGGGCGATACATGGGGTATTCAAGGATATGAATGCGCCGGAGAAGAATCCGTAGAAGACGGAGTAAAGAGTCAAAGCGGCCACATTGTGAGCATTGAGCCAAAGAGCGAGAGAGAATATTCCTGCGAGGACGGCGAATGGGGCGAGCATGTTATAGCGTCCGACGAGGTCCGCAATGTATCCGGGAAGAACACGACCAAAAACGCTTCCTGCGTTCATAACAGACAAGAGGTCGAAGGCGAGTCGCTGAGAAACTCCTTGATCTTGAGAGTATTGGACGATATAAAAGAAGGGCACAAATATGCCTGCAATCAATCGTAAGTTGAAAGATATATGGCAAAGCAGAAGAGAAGAAAATACACATGAAGTGAAGAGAAACAAGACGTACCTAAGCAGCATGTACCACTGCCGATTGAAAAAAGCATGAACTTCACGTCCCTGAAGGATGCAACGTCGATCCACGGGCCAGGCTTCTTCGGTGGTAAGCGGCTGGTACAAGTGAGGCAGGCGACGACACCGCACGCCAAACACACAAAGCCAGAGATGCGAACAGCCCAAGGAAATCCGACCTCGTTGAACAGGCGCTGAAGGAGCAGAGGGAAAACGACCCCGCCTGTAATGCGCATTTGATTCAGCACGTATAGAGGAAAAATTGGTTAGCTACACACCTACGCTTGAGCCTGCGACCGCGATACCAACAGCAGTAGCTCTATACTTAGAGAAATGGGTGGCAGCGGCGCTCAGGGAAGGGTAGAATCTGTATGCTCTCGTGTCAGCTTTGACAGGGAGAAACTTAAGAATAGTACGCACAGAAGACCGACTCCAATGCCGAACACGACTCCCTGGGCGAGGATGAATTGATAGTATTTTGTGGCAAGCGAGGTCATCATGAGGCTGAAGGTATAAATGAGCGTGCCCAGCACGAGGAGCCACCGCGGGCCATAGGCATCGAAGAAACGACCTATTATCCCACCCTGCCGATCGTCGCAATCAGCGGCGTAGTTATGTTGAAAAAATAGGACACATACCGAGAAGAAGAAAACCCACAGCTGAAGAGATCCAATCCATGAAATATCGGAAGGCGAATATTGTGAAAGCTGATGCTCTGAGTACCAAAGCTGAAAGCTTCCAAAAGCATTCATTTGTCCGAATGTTGCGAATAGTGCGAGAAAGGAGCCAAAGACAGTGAGGTAACCATGAATTCCACCTTCCTTGAATGGTGTCTGAGTCGTGGAAGTCGGCTGAGGTGCTAAAGGAGGGTCATGGTTGGCGTTCTCGAGCTTGGAGTCGACGCCGACAGGAGGCGTGCTCGTCCTTTCGTCAGTGCTTGACATGGTGGTGAGAAGACGGAGAGAGAGGCGTCGAAGGAGCGTCCTGGATGCACACCGCCCGGTTAGCATTCAAAATGCCGACGAGACGTTGAATTTTCCAGGCCGAGCTCAAGGGATCACATCGAGGTCATGGTGTGATGTTCAGAGAATTTCTGTTATTTCGCACCTCCTCGGAGAAATAATCTTTTCAGTGAATCCTAAATAGGAAATGGCTGAGCGCGAAACTGGGATAGCGCGCGCGACTCACCGGTTTGAGCGCCAAACTGATCGCGCCGCAATGCCTGTCATTCTCCATGCTCGAATCTACCCACAGTGACACCTAATCAGTTTCCTCCATCCTCAATCAGGGATCTCACTGACACCTTATTTCCAACAGATCACTCGCAGGCAAGGTCACCGAGGAGCTACTTATTGTCTGTTCGAGGCGGATGAGTAGGGGCGCCTCTTTTCTTCTTGCGTTCGGAAGAAACTTGGATTTCTATTATTCCCAGGAAGCGCTGTATTTGGATCACATCAGTTACCCATTGTTACTCGTGTGCTTCTAGAAACCCGGGTCTTACACTTGGCGCTCCCTCGAATAGAGGGTCCGACACGACACAAATAATTACTCCCGATCTCTTCATTCAGGTCTTGAACCTTACTTATTAATAATTTGTGCAACAGCTCAAAGCGATGATCTTATTCGACTGAGGCACAAATATCCGAGCATAATGGTCTCAGGGGGAAAGAAGGAGATCATCCCAAATGTTTTGGCTCGCCGACGTCTGCGACAGATCCTCGGAGAACATATGACATCTGTGGCATTTTGCGAAAAGTGTTGTCGACCACAGGGAGGTCTGGTGCGAACGACAACAGGGATATATCACATAATGACTCGTCTACATTGACAGTAGATCGGGTCCAGATGGGCACTGCCTATACTCTTAGTAGAAAAGCTGGTTTATTTCTAGCAGGTACACCGGACGTGTGGGAGTTGGGTCTCAAGCTATATTTTCTAGACTGCAAGTAGAATGATAATAATCACGATGCATCAGTACTTACCATTTTGCATATCATTTGGTGGACTGTAAGCAATAATATTCGCGACAGAGTATTAGGACAAAACAATCCGGCCTCGGTTTCAATAATGTTTGAAAAGGAGGGCTATATAATTTCTAGTCCATATTTTCGATCGCCCACATGGAAGGAAGGAAGGAAGGTTTATTCAGGATATCGCCGCGCCAACAACAGGCTCGTTATTTCCCGCGATGTTTGAGTGGAAATATATCGTCGACAACAGTTCTCAGTCTCGATGTGTCCTGGCTGTGAGGAACAGCCAACTTTCTGCTGCGTTAATGCTAAAATGGGAAAAGATGTGATACTTACGATCTGTCAGCGGGGCGGCAGTCAGCGGGGCGGCAATCAGAGGGAGAACCATCGAGTGATCCGAGACCACCGAGATGCTCAAGGCAGACATCTCACTTTTGGAACTTCCAAAAAGTCTCCGCGGTTGATCCTGACGCCGCCTCTACCTTCCATTATTGCCGCTGCGCAATCAATATCACGGGTTATTTTTGAACGGGTTTAGCGGGAATGATCAATGGACGTTCCCCCTCGCCGCAACTACTTACACGCGCTTCCCGGTACCCTCGGAACTCGATTCCGCTCGCCCGCAAGTACAATATACGACGACTATTTCCTCTTTCAAAAACTTATTACAGCACCGCTGATTGCTCAGATGCACTGCCTTAAAATATTTTGCCCCCTGAGATAAATCCCTGCGATTCCTCCCACCATCATCATCGGCATACCAGGTGTCGCTCATCACTTCACGTTGATGCATTCGATTGGATCGGATTCTGTTATTTTCAAGTCTGGCGTGATCCAAAGGTATTTTCGAGACTCGCATCGCTTGGGCGATTTATGGATAGAAACCTGAATGATGTATGAACTTATGTGAATCGTGTAGATCGGAGAGCGCTTCTTCGTTAGCGAATACATATTGTTAATCGTACTAAATACTGACCATCGACAATACCTAGATACGCCGCGTGATCCCAGTACCAACGTATTTCCGTCCCTATTGTTTTGTTAGTACAGTTTCCACGATAGTAAGAGAAACTCACACAATCCGTTGAGCTCCATCAACTCATGCGACCATCTGTCAGCTTCATCAGTCCTGCCATCCGAAATCCAGCTGGGTATTAGGTGTCCTTGACTCTGAATGGAGTACTCGTTTGTTCGTCGATCCACCACACTCGAATCCTCCAGCCAAGAATGCATCACGGTCCAGTTCATGGAAAGCTGTACGTATCTTTCCTCGATCTGCCTGATGGTGTGGGACACTACACAATCAGAAAATGTTACAACTACGTATCATTGTTGCGTGGCACTCTTGTTTATAGCGCGTGCGGTGTAACGAAGCGTGGGCGTTACTACGCCGTCTGCAGTTAACTCCACCTTGATAGCGCTTGCGCGGAGTACTTAAGTGTTTCGAAGGGTACTTGATCTCAGCCGCCAACTCAACTTATCGTCATGTCTGCGCTAAACGCCACTGAGCTACCAAATCCATTCACACCTCTTGCATTTCTTCCGCCGACATTAGCTTCACAGTTAGAAGCGTCCAGGTATCTTTATGTTGCTACTCTTGCGGTAAGCAAAATGTCGATTCGTTGTGAACAGCTCTCACATCAATTTCTAGGCCTTCATATGGGACATGGCCATGGCAATGCCAGACGAATACAGAATGCTAGTCTCTGGGAGGTTCGGTTTGCCCATTGTGGCGTATGTGGTGTCTCGGTGAGTGTTTTATCGTAGATACACATTCGCTATAACAAGTTTTTCTGAACCTCGCTGTTTACTCTCAGCATTGCCAGTGTGGCGTACGTCGGAACGAGCACCGCATTTCAAGGTTCGTCCTCGTACTAAGATCTCCTATGACTTATCTTCACTCATGACTTGGAAACCTTGCAGTATCATCCGTCGCTTCATGTGAGGGATTGCAAATAGCCCTTGGATGTTGTTTCGCCGTCGCTACCCCTGCTACATCCCTCCTGTTCTTCTTTCGTGTTCGCGCCGTTTTTCTGAACAACAAAATCGTCACATCATTCTTCGCCTTCATGTGGATCGCCGTTGTCGCAGGATCCATCACTGTTCCCTTCGCCATCTCGGGCGCCCATATAGGAACTACCGATCGGTGTATCAATACTGTGGTCAAACCGTACAGCTCCGCCGGCCTTGTTATCAACGGCTGCTCCGACACACTCGTATTCCTTGCAATCTCTTGGCGGTTGGTCACGTCCTCTCTCGCAAATGACCCTATCAAAGCCCGTGTACATCAATTCTATAGCGGAGACGGTCTTCCGAGGCTCTCGAAAAAGGTCTTGCAAAGTGGACAGCTGTATTACTTGTAAGAACATACACAGCTCATCATGTTTATTTCCTTCAGGACTGACCGCGCAGCAGGGTTACGGTCGGACTTAATATTGCTACTATGGCCCTCATCCTCACACCTTCGGTTCCGCCAGTCCTCCGTGCAATGTTCACTGTACCTAACCTCGCTCTTGAGAACGCCATGGCCACCCGCGTATTCAGAGCAGTTCGTTTAGGCGCAATACGCAATCCGACACCTACTTCTACTGGCCTTGGCTACTCTTCCACACCTCGCGCTCGCTCGAACGATGCACAACAAGCCCCCCCTTCAGAATATCCGCTATCGCCACGCATCAAGCCCCAAGCGAGCAATCACAGAGTCAATATCACCATCACGCAGCAGACTGAGGTTGACCGTGAGGAGCGTTCATTTACGAAGCCGGGTACTCTAGACGATGATCAGTTTGGTGGTGAGAGCGTTTAGCTTGCGACAGCTAGTTATTCCTGAAATCAGAGGCTATCATCCTCCGCTCCTTGTTTCATATATCCTCCATCTTCGGCACTGTACCTGATTGTATACCGTATCATCTGCTCCTTGTGCCTTGTACAGGTATCGGATGTTCTATTTTTATTGCAGACACTATTTTGTGATGAAATCAGCAGCATCGTTATCCCATATCTCGATTCTTCTGGGTTTCCTCTGTACAATAATTGGCTTCGTCACTGTCATCTTGTACTCAATCCTGCGTCGTTAGTCTGTTCACAAAGTGCATAGCAATCCTTAACAATCTCTCTACGTCCTATTATTCCTGCTTACCACTATCCCTGCATTGCTGGCCGCGTATTTATTAGGATTTTACCGTTCTCTGCAGTTTTGAGTATGGAAAATTCCACATTCCGCTTCAACGTTCTATATCGACCGCCGAAATCAAGGATCGAAACTCCAGAACCAACCCATTCCTCGGACCGGGATTAAGGATGTCACAACGTCATGCTTACTGTACCCGTACATAACCTCTCCGGTGGGCGTCTATACTGTAGACACGTGGACCTCTCGCGCTAGCAAGCAGAGCGTTCCGCTTTTGCTCTTCTTTCACGCTCATGTGGCAAACACGATACCTACGAGATCCTATTGTGCAAGAAGGACTCTCAAGGACGGCCTTCGATTTCCCTCTCAAGAAGATATAAACGTTCGCCATTGATACTGACTACCTCAGTTCATCGTCGAGCTACCACGATGAACCCCGATCTCTCCTACTCGCTTGTCAACGTTCCTAGTCGAACTCCTGGAACCTATCTCGACGTAGCCTGCTGGAAACCTAATATCCCAGGGCCTTTCCCGGTTATTATCGCGGGGCACGGGTGAGTCTTATCCCTATCGCTCTAAATCGAAATCTCGTTAACTCTCTCTTAGAATGACACTCACGAAAGATGCGGGACTTAAAGCGTTCGCACAGCGATGGGCAACTAACGCTGGTTTTGCCTCTTTACTCATGGATTACCGCGGTTTTGGCTCATCCGGCGGAGAACCTCGTAACCTGGTCTCACTGAAAAATCAAACCGAAGACTTTCTCTCCGTCGTCGAGTGGGTCAAAGCCAACTCCGACCAATTCAGAGTGGACAAGATCGTGGTGATGGGCAGTGCGATGAGCGGCCTCAACGTAGCCGAGCTCGTCGTTAGATGCAAAGATCTCGCAGGCGGAATGGCTCACTGTCCGTTGCTTGACGGTCGGTTCCACGCTGTGATCGTATGACTCCCGAACTCACTGACTGCCTCGTCTTCCAGGTTATGCTACACTCATGTCTCTGGACCCCAATCCTAGGCTCTTGTTCTGGGCTGCGGTTGATTGTGCGAAGTCTTGGCTCGGTCTCGCACCTCTCTATGTTCCCGCGGTCGGTAAACCTGGTGAATTCGCCTTCATCAACTCCCCCACGTCATATACAGGTCAGTAATCCTTAGTGTGCATCTGTATTATCCCGAGGGCCCCGAGCTGATGAGACATCATCATGTTCCGTTCGTTACGCCTTGCCACGCAAGGCTTTACGAAGATGTACGAGAAAGGGGATAGGCCATTTTCTGAGATGCCTAACGTCTTAGCTGCACGTTTGGCTTTTGAGGTCTTCTCCGCGCGTCCAGGTCTCATGCTCAAGAACGCAAAGTCTCCGATGTTGATAGTCATGGCAGAGGAAGACGACATGATCCCTGTAGCGATCACTCGAGACGTGGTCGCGAAGTCCTGCGGAAGTGAGTGCTGTGCTTCAGCTTTACTGAGGTCCTCTGTCATATTCACTGATGTCTCCGCAGAAGTTGAATTTGTAGCTGCACCCGGAGGTCACTACGATGTGATGGAAGGCGGCAAGGTATATCCATCCATATATGTCATTCCGTTCAAAAGACCTTATCCGAGTGAATAGACGCAGTTGAGCTGAGATTTTGTTGCAGGGTTTTGAAACGAACATCAGTGCGCAGGTCGATTTTCTGCGCAGATTACTGTAAAGAACCAGGGCGGGTATGAATATTCCATTCCTACTCTCCCGTGTGCGTGTAGCAAGGCAGTGCCAGATGCGTTTTTATTTTGTTGTCCTGATGGGGCTTGTCGGGGTGTGCGTGGAAGGTGATAACCTGAACTTCTACTAATAAAACATGGTTTGGTCACTGTGCGGAAGAACTTCCAGGAAACGTCAAATCAGTGGCGTGCTGATAATATGAGTGACGACATATATAGCCATTCTAGGCTGACCTTTTAGATCTGAGCGCTGAGCTTGGACGCCGAGTCAGGATGCCACAAAGGTGGTGGATCCTTCGTTTCTCCATTCGTTCTGGACTACTGTATGTGGCGTGGCATGGCGCTGCTTTGAACAGCCTCGTGACAGTTGAATGCTATGCTATAAGAGTAGTATCGTCTCTTGACCGTCCCTTCTTGGACACGCTCGGTAGGGTTTCTCGGAGAACTGTGAGCTTCAGAGACACATACCCCGGTCGCAGCCTTACTCGAAGTTCCATCAAGATGTAGAAGATGTCTCTTTCTCCGAGTCCGGGTAGTGCGGGCGTCCATGCCCTTCCCTTGCGTTTCGCATTCACCCATGGTGTAATATGATGCATCGCAGGCGTTCAAGACCTATGGCCTTAGGCCTCAGATCCTCGACTCTTCTCGCTTTGCCACTGAACCGTCACGAAACTAAACTCTAGACCACGCACTGCTGGCTCCTCTGAGTTCGTTCTGCACAACGGCACCCAAATCAGAATCAGATGCGGCTTCCATGTTCGATGTCTACACCTGGCACATAGTATGCGATATCAAGAAAATGGTCCGTCGTAGTTTATTATGTAGCCGGCAGAAATGCCAGTTGAAGTATTGCAGAACGGGGCCCATCCGGAGTCTAGAACATTCGTTTGGACGCATCGACTACTATCTTGTTTTGTTTTCAAACCCGAGGCCTGATCAAAACCATCTCAGTGTCTATCGATCTCTGGGACATTGACAGCGAGTAGCTAGCGTGACAAAACATGAACTAAAATCTGAAATGTCCCGATGCTGTTCGCTCCGACCACGTCACGAACATCGCACCACAATGAGCTACCACTAAAATATTCCACATGGGAATGAATGAATTCTTGGTGTGAAGAACAAGGTTATCGTACATACAACACGGAGATCACTCTAGCAGTAACGTCCGACAGGGAAACGAAACATTTTCTCAGCCTTTACAACAATATACACCACAATGACCGCAACCAACAGGACTTCTGTAGACTTAAAGAGTGAGACGCAACAAGGAGGCCCACTTTTCAATGAAGCCCTCCACGACATCTCTCGGCATTGCATTCTCGTTGTAATCCGCACTGAGCGTGATGCGATTACCCCAGGAGTAGAGGCGGAAAAATCTGAAGGGGCCGATGAGCTGGCTCCCTAACCATCGAGGAGACCGAAATAAATGCGACTCACGGTCCAGGATCAGTCTTGTTCAACGAGGTGAAGAAATCATCGACGCGAATGTTAGAGCCATAGGTCGGCTCGAGATACGTCTCTCCGATTCCGTCACCCGCAAACCAAGGTCCCATCCACGGAGGCGGTGGGCTATAACGACAGCGAGCCTCTATGAATACGAAATCGATAGAATGTAGGATGGAATATGAGCACGTACGGTCCACCCGCTCTCAACCCGGAGAGCATCATCTCGACCTGCTGAGCTTCGATTGCAAGCAGAGCTGGATACGCCTTCTGCCTGGCGTACTCCTGCTTGATGACTTCCGCGGCCTTGAGGAGCTGTGCCTTTTCACCTTCCGAGGCGGAAGAGGAGACGACGGAGACGGGAAGCTGGATGGCGGACATTCCTAGGCAGTACCCCGTGTAAGCGGACGAGCCCTTTCCGGAGTACTCGGAGTTGAGACGGTCACGAGAGTCGACGAGGCCATAGAAGACGAATGTGGCGTCTTCCGGCGTGGACGAGGAAGGTGGGTTGTCGTGAGCGCAGACGATAGCAACAGCGGCATGGGCTGTATGATGGTATACCTCAAATCAGTGGTTAGGTATGTGTGAGAGGGAGAGATGGGACCCACCAAGATGGTTAACGGTGAATCCAAGCGAACGCGCCACCTCACGGAATTTGGTAGACTCGTCAGCGGTGAGAATAGTACTAGCGCGACGAGTGGGGCCAGGTCCAATGTTACGCTTCTTGAAGCCGTATTGGCGCTGTCCAAGGACGAAGTCAGAAAAATATCAGAGAAGGGGACGAGAGGTAGTGTCTTTAACAAAAAGAAATTATAAGCGTACCGGCATCGCGGAGCCGAGGTCAGACATGACGTTCCCCAACGTCTTCTGGTACCCTTCTCCCTCACGTTGCTCATTCGGACCCAGGATCTCCGAGGCCACGGGTGTGAGCTTCGCACCTTCCGAGCCCCAGGCGAGCGCCTTGTTGCTTGACGCAAGGGAATTGTCGAGTTCGGTGGATAAGAGCCGGAAGAAGCGAGAGAAGAGCGCTTTGGCGCCGGCACCATCGAACGGGGTGTGCGCAGTATGGAGGAGGAAGCTGACGGACGAGTTGGAGCGAGGAACAACGTACAAGAAGGTCTGGTCGCCGTTCTCGTCAGGGATGTGGATCTTCCCGATCTTGTACCGAATCTCGTCGAGGTCGTCGGTGGTCTCATGAAGGCGAACGGTTCTCTCAGCCCAGGAAGAGGCCTCGGCGGAGTCATTGGCAACGCGATAGGTGATGAGGGTGTTCCCAACCGCATCTTGTTCGGTATGGGCCGCGATGGTGGGGATAGTGAACCGGAGCGCCACCCACGCATTGCGGCAAGCATCGAGGAGCTTAGAGGAGGATGGGGAGGAATCGATGGTGGTATCGACGCCTATGAAGAGAGTCTGCTCTCCGTGGTTGAACCGGTTCCAGACGTCTTCGATGACTTCGCCACCGGCTGCCTCGCGAATATAATACATAGGGTCTTCGGGAGACGTTCTCCAGACGTAACGGCTGAAGTCGACGGGCGGGAATGCAGGGGCTGCCATGACTGTCGGGTGGTCAATGGGATAGGGGGGATCCGAGGAGACTACCCGGCTTTTAAAGCAATCGAAGAGTCGTCTAAGTATGGTGCTGCCAAAGCGCATCAGTCCGTAAGATGTGAGACGAAGCCAGTCAAGATTCGTGCACAGAAATGCAGCAGAGCTCAAGTCGGACGTCGAGGGCTCAGTCGTTCCTACCCAGAAAGCTTTAAGTACGTGATCCTGCTTTTCGAGCTTACATTTCTTCACAAAAGTATCCAGCCGTTTGACGCGTTCCAGTGCGCACGGCGGAGGGGAGGGACGAGGATGAACGGCCAGTGCTAGCGGTCACACGCCCAGTTTAGCTTGCGCCGGATCCCGGCACCCTCCTCCGGTCGCCGTCCGGGCCCCTCTCATCCCACACTTCGTTTCTTTTCTTCGGACTGTGGCCCTCATACTGCTCTTCCTCTTCATGGCATTCCCACCAAGCTATCTCGACCTGGGTTAGGTACATACCCGTTGTGTGACTTACCACTAAGATACTTCTATGACAGGCGACTTTCGACAATAGTTTTTTTTCTAGAATGTTCGTCGCGGCACGCCGCCTTTCAATATCAACACCGATCCTCCATAAATCATCTTCGTACCAGGTGAGTCTGTGCTAGTCATTGTAATGCTAATAATGGATGCTCTCGGCAGCATCTGTGATGCAAACTGCCCAACCATCATCGCGATCCAAGGAGCCAGATTAGAGCCAGACCGTCTCATCGCTAAAGGAAGTTCTATTTTATATGAGGCACTACTCAGTCTGGTCATCAACCGAGCACATCGGAGGCCTTTCGACGCCGTCTTCTCTAAATTAAGAATTGTGGGCAGTCTGACTGCCGCCACGAAGCTGAGGCACTGGCATCGCTGAACTCGATCTTCCGCGGCGATAAACAAAAGTTATTGGGCGATGGGCTGCATCAATCACGCTGAGCATCGCTGTTCCCGTGCTTCACACATCCATAATGTCTCACTAGACCCATACATCCTATGCTCAGGGGATCCCTGTTACTTGTGTTATACACACGGCCTTTGTGGTCATGAGCTTGATTACAACGTCATGAAGCGCTGCAGTGTCCCAAATCTGAGGACAAAAAGAACATATTTGGTGAAGTGTGGCCACCATATAGGAACCCGGCGCATCCAAAGCCATTGGATCTTTCGATATCAACTTACATAGCCCCATAAGCAGAATGTGTCCCAGCGCGCGCTACTAATGTTATTCCACCCTGATCTCCATTCCTCTCTTCATGCTCCGGGCTGCCCCACTGGCCACGTTTCCCACACACAGAGTGTCAAATGCAACGCTGATGTGCAGTGCCATTTCGACCCGAAACCTCCGGACTGCTCGCTTCCTTGTCTACGTGAAATCTGTCACGATATGTGATGTAGGATGTTCGATTTAGTGGGGGAGGCTTATATTGAGTGTTTTCCAGTTAGAAGGCGCTTTCCGACATCCTCCTTCATGGACCTGACAGAAGACTCTCCCTGCATCATCGGCTCATCGTGTCGCCTCCCAGGTGATATCATCAGGACAGACGGGCTCTGGGATGTCTTCGATCGAGGAAATTGGGAAGCCTGCAGCACTCTGCCACCCGCGTCCCGTGGATTTAATTCCTATCAGACATCCCATTCACCGTCTCAATGCAGGGGCGGGTGGCTCGGAGTAGACGGTATCGAGGAATTCGACGCACATTTCTTTGGTATTCCACAGTCAGAGGCCCTTAATCTCAGACCGAATACTCGCCTCGCACTTGAACTCACTTGGGAAGCGTTAGAGAACGCCGGTATACCGCCTTCATCACTTCGCGGAAAAAACGTGTCGGTTTCGATCGGTGTGGGTACGGAGGATGGGTGGGACTTGAGACGGGTGATCGAGGATGGGACGGCGGCGTTCGACACGACTTGGGCTTCCAACAGTGATCCGAGCGGTGTGGCAGGGCATATCGCGCATATATTCGATTTCTGTGGCCCATGCAACACAGTCTCTAATGCTTGTGCCAGTGGAGCTTTTGCGATCAAGGAAGGTAAGTCGACCATATAATCAACCGACCGTCTACATTGCTCAATATTTAATTCAATAGGTATCCACTCACTCCTGCAAGAGGATTCGGAAGTTGCGATAGTTGGTTCGTTAGCGACACACTTTACGCCTGCCCCGTTCGGCTGGGCTGTCGCCTCCGGGGTTGCCTCTACGCAGGGACGCTCATCAACCTTCTCACCGGACGCTGACGGATATTCACCATCGGTATGATCTCGGTATTCATTATTGAAGGTTATCGACGATGCTGATTATCCCCTTCATATGGATCAGGAAGGTGCCGTTTTCTTCGTGATGAAAAGACAAAGCGGGGCTATATCCTCTGGAGATTACGTCCAGGGTATATTCAGATCAATCGCCACGGGTCATAATGGCGCGACTCGAACTCTCATGACCCCCAACGCCGACGCTCAAGCTGCGATAATAAGGAAGGCTCTCAATTCAGCACACATCGCACCTGGAGACATTTCGTTACTGGAAGGTGAATTACATGGTTGCTATTCATCTCCTGGTTCCGCTCACTTACAGTATATCTGCATTGAAAGCTCACGGAACCGGAACTCCTGTGGGAGACGCTTTGGAGGCCGAGGGTATTCGCACCGTATTTGGAAAACGTGAGGGAGAACCCTTATTTTTGTCATCCTCGAAGACCGTAGTGGGCCACTGCCATGGATCAGCCGCTCTCGTCGGTAAGATATCCACTCGCTTTCCTGGTCGCACTCAAGTATCTGAAATTACGCCTGAACTAGGTCTTCTTAAAGTTTTGTGTTCCCTGGAATGTAGAAAACTACCCAGACATGCTGTCTCTCCTCGCGCTGAGTTCACGCGAGGTCCTATTATCGTTCCGACCAACCCTGTGCCACTCAGCGCCACTCGTCTCATCGCTCAAGTGAATTCCTTCGGCTTCACCGGTTCTGTTTGCAGTATGGTCATCGAACTTCCCGTGCACACCACATGGACACCTCCGAATTCATCGAACGAGGGACACCGATTCTTCCTGCCATTCTCTGCGAAAACTCAATCGGCGCTCTTCAACCAAGTCGTCGCTGTTTGTTCATGGGCACTGAAGACGAATTGCTCCCTCGCCGATCTCGCCGCGATATTGGGCCTCTGTAAGGACCATCACGCGCATCGTCATTCGGCAAGCGTCGTTTCGCCGGAGGACCTCATTCGTCTGAAGGATGATGCACACTCTCACGGTCTCGACGAGCAGAGTGGAAAAGCCATGGCTTTCCCCGATGATGACCGGATCACTCTCCGCCTGCTCAACTTGAGCGGCGTCGATGAGAGCATGCGCGATGATTTACTCGACGAAATGGTTCAGTCCTGTCGTCTCGTCGATGCCGCTATTCTTCTGTACAACCGTGGTCATCATCTGCATTTCTCAGCAGCTTACGATAAACATGACATCGACGTGAACATGTTGCGTGCGTTTCCCTTATACCCCTTCGATAGACAGAGGTACTGGCGAGATGGACACCCTCGTCGTAACATAGATTCCATGGCTTCCCGCGGACTGGACTGCCCCACTCCCAATAGTCATCCTTCCATCTCCGACACGAAGTCAGTGGACTCGTCCTCTAAACAGAAGGAATTTTTATCCCTTATCGAACAGTTCGGAGCTCCCGTGTCTTTCGATGACACTTCGAAGCTCCCGAGAGAGGAGGGCAGCTTCCATATATTGCTGACGGGTGGAAACGGAATGCTCGGTTCGAATTTACTCGCCCGCCTCCTTCGCCACAACTCCACGACTGTCTATTGCATCATCCGTGGCCAAGATCCTTGGTCTAAGCTTTCCAGGTCGTTCAAAGTCCATCATCTCGATGAGAAACTTCTGCTCATGGCCAGAGAGAGCGGCTCCCTCGTATTGCTCCCAACATCTGACCTTTGCGGTCCTAAACTCGGCCTTACGGATGCGCATTATCAACAACTTATCGAGTCAGTGGACCATATCGTTCACGCAGCGTGGAAGGTCAACTTTAATCTCCCTCTCAAAGAGTTCGTCCCGTTCCTAGAATGTACGCGCGCCCTGGCCGAGCTTAGTGTCACGGCGAAGAAGTTGGTGCGATACCTTTTCATCGGAACGTATGCGAGTACCTTCAACTACTCCAATAAACTCGTTCCTGAGGACATACTTGAACCTCTTGTGTCATTCGCTGCTGCACAGGTTCGTCATCCTCTCTTTGTTCTCTTTTGAAGGGTATACACACTCATATCGTTCATAGGGTTACGCTGTGTCAAAGTTGATCGCTGAGAACGCACTTCTCAAAATTCTAGAAGCGAGTTTGAACTCGTTTGAACTCGCTATCGTTCGCGTCGGACAAATATGCGGAGACAGTGTATCCGGATATTGGTCGCCAGACGAAATGATGCCCATGATGATCGCGTCGCTTCCAGCTCTCAAGGCTCTTCCACGGTCCATGCCCGACGTCTCCTGGATTCCCTCCGACATATGCGCAGACAGCCTTCGCGATTTCATTTTGTTCCATCCAGTCGACATCCCAGTCATTCCTCCCAATCCACATGTCCTTCACGTTGCCAACCCGCGTATCACGCCGTGGCCCACTGTGGCGAAGCAATTGGGGAACGTGGCCGGTATTGATCAGATCGCTCTGTTACCCTTTGCGGATTACGTCTCCCTCCTTCAGCGAACACCCAAAGACCTTCCCATCGTCCGCCTACTGCCATTCTTCCTCGAATCCCTATCCGAAGGCACTATGCCGGAGAACTACGCCTCGCTTAATGTCGAGTCTACTCTGCATTACAGCCAATCGCTCAGCGCTTGTCCTGAAATTGGTCCGAAAATTCTACGAACCATATGGCGTCATCTTCAGTCGAAAGAAGAAGAAGTAGAGATGCAGAAACTCGCGGACCCCGTGTATATTTTCGGTCCATGGTCGGCCCTTTCGAAGGACGTTCCGTTAGACAAAAATCTGACCCGCATCAAGGCCCTTGCGCAAACAGTGCGTGCAAGTCTAGACGATAACATAGACGAAGAAGAGTAAGTTCTATGCTTGAAACATTGTCCATACGTCACGATCTAATCCGTTCACTTTTCAGCTTAGCCCTGGAGCGGCAGCTAAAGACACTAGCGTGCCATCTCACAGAAGTCGAAAAGTTATCCAATCACGGTGCAAATCCCTGTGCTGTTCTCGGATACTGTTTCGGGGAGTATTCCGCCGCAGTTGTCTCCGGAGCCATGACTGAGGAAGCTGCAGTGAACATCATCGTCCGTAGGGCTATCGCTCTTCGAAAGGTTAACGGAGCCATGCTGAACGTCTTTTCCGATATGAGCGTCGTCAAGCGCCACCTCGCACGACTGCCCTCTCCTCCCAGCATTGCAATACACGCTGGCCCTGGCCATGTTGTACTCTCAGGGACAGTTTCCCAAATACAGGATTCTCAGAAGGAACTTCAGCGGCGCGGCGTAAAAACTGTGCTGATACCTGACGCTCTCCCATTCCATTCCGACGCCGTGAACGACTCGGTATCGAAGCTGCTCCCATACTCATTCGTACCACAACCTGCATCTACGTGCTATATCTCCTGCGTAACGGGCTCGTCTATATCAAGCATCCAACTCGGCATCAAGTACTGGTTGAGACACATGCGGGAACCAGTCCAATTCTATAGGTCGATGCAATTCATACGAAACACTTTCCCCTCCGCCAAGATCATCGACGTAGGACCGGGAACTTCCCTTGCCAAGATGATCTCGCGATATGAATGGCCAGACACCGTCGTTCTCTCTGTAAACGAATGGTGCCGGGACGGGTTTTCGCACAGGAAATCAACTCCCCTTGCAGCTCATAATATAGCGCCCCAACTCGACACTATCCCTAGATCGCTATCTCTCGCGGGCGAAAGAGAACCTAGAAAAGAGCAGGATCTATCCCAAGTGGCACTGAGCGTGTTGTCGAAAACGTTTGGGTATCCTGAGTCGAAGGACATACTGAGACGCTCCCCTCATTCAGTTGGGCTACAGTCCATGGACTTTATTAGATTTTCAGATATATTCTCTCGGAGGACTGGTATCGATATTCCGCTATCTGCGTTTGTCTCTGACCTGACATTGGAAAGAATAATTACCAATGCTGTGACGTAGTATTTTCAGGCTTCGTCGGTTTGTTCTACTAGACTCTTCCCTGTTCTTCTTTTGTATTTAATCTGGCCGCTCTTCTCTGTTATCTGATCTGTATTAATTCTGTAGATATTTCCGTTGATCGAAGCCGTTTGTATCCCATCGGAGGGACACGACCCCACGCCTTTTACCGCCCTTCAAGGCCCTTCTCACCCCTGTAACCTTATGCAGAGTGTCGAGATTTTAGAAGAGTAGACCAGCAGAGTACGGCGGTATACACGTACTAGAAAGCGCTGTATTATCATATGAAACCCCATAGTGCCGAGTAGTCACGATGCAATCTCGAGCTTCCGGGAGACCCTGATGACCGTCTGACTAAATCGTACTTGTAGAAAGGATAATTGGGCCCAGAGTGATGGGTTATGATACGAGAGAACCCCAGTGCATTCGTTGGTGGAACTTGAAACATAGGCCTGCCGGGCACGGCGGTAAGCGTACAGGCTATTGGGGCCTCTCAGTTACATCTCAGAACCTGAAATTCCTGCTGGAAATTTACTGAGCTGCATGCACAATTGCCAGTGGAGCAGCACATCCGTTCTATATAAAGTCAAGAATATAAATAAAACAGAATATTAATTGAATCCCTCGTTGTACGCCTCATCGAAGCATACACAAAGGGCGGCCATGAAGATAATATCTACGCCCGGTGCGATCCTAGCCGCATACTATTTATCAATATAAATTGAGAATGTCAAACTGTCACAGAGAACTGAGAAGAGATTCCCTATAAACTCACCGTCTGCTTTCCGACAGCTACGTCCTTCACGTCTAAGAAACAACGGTTTATCTCTCCCAGAACCTCGTCCGTTCCCACAATCGTGATGGTAGCGGACCTGGTTTATATTGAGCAGTAAATGATCTCAGTGCTAAATTCGCACAACAAAGGGTCACAAGTGAGACTGACCTCCCGAGCCAGTCACCCTTGCATTCGAGCTCTATCTCCTCCGGATCAACGGAGGATGCTTTAGGAGTTAAGGCCATGTTTGTAAAGGAGGCGACCATTCGAAAGGATGTTACTGAAGAGAAAGGCGGAAAATATCATATCAGTGTTCTGACAAGACTCGGACGGAGACTTTCATTGAATGGGCGGAGAAGTAAAAAAGAGTCTCGTGATGCATACCAAGGAACTTCTTGTTGACCCTACAAAGTTCGGTCCCGTCCATGGCCTCTATGACTTGTTTCTTTGGTATGGCGATTTTATTGCGAATTGTGAATAACGGGTTCCCTTTTGAGTCCTTGAATACTGCGCGATATGTAATTATGAGCAAATATTCAATCCTCCTCAGTCGGCCAATAACCCCGAGGAGTGGGGGGGAACTACGAGAAATAACTGACCCTTCTTGTCGATCAGAGTAAATGCCTGCCCACGACAACTTAATACCACCTCTCCGGCCTCATTGTTGACCACAAATTTGTCGCCGGTCAGGGAGGCAACGTTATGCTTCATGTGAAGAGTTTCGACATTTGGACCGCAGAAATCGATATTAAGGCCAATAGGAGGGTCAACGGGTTCAAGTACGGTTTGGAATGGAGTTGGATGACCGAAGAGCCCCATTGTTGATCGATGTTAGGGTGATGCCAATGCAAGAGAGTAATATGAGAGAATTGGCCGGATACTCTGTGTTGGAGAATCGTACTTATAGTTTCGGCTTTCAGTCAGTTGAATGTGCGTCCCCTGACGAACGGGATATCCAGGTGACATGGCGATGGAAGGAAATGGAAAAGCTGCGTATGAACGCCACATTTTGATGAAGATGTACCGGGAAGGCGTCGGAGAGAGAGGCGATGGCTCTCATTCAATCAATGCCCGATTGACAGCTCTCATCATATGCATATTGATTGTGATAGACACAGCGGGAGTTGCCTTTCCTATTGTACCCAACGTTATGCATATCAATTTTGGTACATGTTGAGTCCCTCCGGACGTCGACAGTACTCGTCGTACGCAAAGAATTGAACAGAACGAGTTACACGTGGGCTCAGATCCACTGAAGACAGCATAGACTCGGCGGCCTACTCTTCCTTAAAGATTGAATTAAATATGTTTGTACAGAGTATCTCGCTGTTCGTCTCGCAGGTCTGTCGTCGCCGTTAGATAATGGATCTAGTGGCGGACATGTACATGTCGAATGCAACCCGCGACAGTATATGTGGAATACAGTCCATCAAAATCTCCAGAATTTGTGCATAACCCAATTTGGTAGCACTGGACTCTGACATCTCGCCTTCTCTCGACACATCTGCTCACTCCGGACACAGGAGAGCAATACCTTTTCACGGTCATAAATTCTATGTTCTCGCCCACGTTCCTGGAGGCCGTGGAATGGCCGTCTATCCAGCCAAGAGGACAGATAATATGGGGAAAGTGGTAGAAGAGCGAGACATTGCCTAGACTGCCAAACTGTATTTCATACTCCTAACGAGGCTAATGGATTGCATGAGCACTGGGACGACTGATGGTTGCGCTAGGAGCATCATATCTTTAACATGACGTGGGTGTAGCTATGAAATTTCCTTGAGAACACTTACTCTAAAGAAACAGAGGTGCCCTTTATGGACTACGCTTTGTTTGATGCAGGAGTCTCGAGCGACGGGTATCATGGTATTCGGATACCGCCCATACAGCACAGGATAAGCAGTGCAGATCAGTTGTTTCGAAGCTGGAGTCTTTGGCGTCGAAAGTTCGATTGCGATGATGGAACGGAATGGAGCCACGACCAAACCATGGTTCCACGACATGTCAGAATCGGTTCTTCTCATCGAAGTTATGTACTTCATTCAAAGAAATCCTCAGCTCAGGACCTTCACCATTCTAATTTATCCGTTCATATCACTTAGCACGGAGCAGTCCCGTACAGGCCTATTCATGCCAGCCACACACAATTTGACCCATTGAATAAGGCCCGAACGTGTTCCGGGACCAGCTCCGCCTACAAAGCAGAGAACGAAGAAAAGAAAACCGAGCGATAAGGAAAGAGACGCACAGTTTCTGAGTACAACTTGGTGTCCTCATCTGTATCTCGCCAACGGTTCTTTGTGCTCCTGCGAGGACTGAAACAATTAACATGCCCTGCACAAAATAGAGAAGGAGCTTTAGTATAGCGAGGCGATCGAGGTCAGGGAGAGGATGAGAATGAATGGGGTCGAGGGGAAGAGCATGTCGAAGCGGGCAGCAAATATGGAAAGGGAAGATGGACAGAATGTATAAGGATGGAACATTGTCGATGTCGAAGGACGTCTGCAGTCATATACGTAGTAAGAAAGAACATGGTCGAGAGGGAATGAAGTGGGAGAATCGGGTTGGAAGAGTAGAAAAATATCGGCAAGAAGGAGATGACTGAAAGCAGAGTATTGGCGGTACGGCGTCGGCATAGAAATGACGAGGAACTTCAAATGCATTCAAGAAATAGGGGGAGAAAAGGGTGGATGACAGTACTGGAAGTAGCGTGGGGAGTGGTATGCGAAGTAAATGGTGGAAGTGACATGTACGCAGAAAGGGAACGAAAAGGGCGGTGGCGAATATTGCATAAACCGAGACTGCAATGGAGAACGCACCGTGTCATTGAACAGTCCGAGTTATACGCTGACTCGACGACGACGTGCGAGGACAAAGAAGCGTTTTTAGGGAATAGGCTGTGGATGGAAGGGATTAGTAGACGGAAGAACACATGATGTCCCAGATGTGGATACGAACTATAAGAGGTCGAATGCAGAGTGATGGAATGCTTGGAAGATGAAGAGATGGGGCAAGCAGGCAGAAAAAATACGCGGAGGGAATGCAGGGGAGGAATAGGGAGGAATGCGTGGGTAGATTGATAAAGCGAAGACAACGAGGAAAAAAAAGTAGGAATAACGCACCGAATAGCTTTTATTTTGCGCCGTTATAATATCTGTCTCATCAATGGCATCGATGCCCCGCATCTTATGACGCACGAAGACTTCGTTGCGGAGAGTGAAGGTAAACCTTCATTTGTACCTTTGGATTGTGGAGTTGAAAAAAGAATGAGTTGAGCTCGACGGCTCGGAGGGTTAGAATGCAGAATTGAGGTGGGTGGAAGGGTTCGAGCAGGACGGAAGAGGGAGTGGGGTAGTTTGAAGGACCCAGTGTCGTTCATGCATGAGTGGAAGGCTTGGTTAATACACGGGAAATATTGTAACAGCGAGTGTGTGATGGAGGGTATAAAGCAAGCATTATGAAGCCGAAGTGAGGACGTAGAAAGTCGCTGTGGCGCGCCACTCGATTACTAATTGATCGCTGCTCACCGATAACCTGGTTTCCCTCGTACTCATCTGTCGGAAAATATTCCAGGACCTTTTAAGTACTTACAAGGCTATATCAGGTATATCAGGCCGGACCGGCCTGGCAATGATTGAAAGGGGGGAAAAACTCCCTGGGAAGGCCGCTTGTAAGGTCGCTTGTAAGGTCGCCGCGATCCGGTTTATGAACGGTGATGGCAATGGGCCTAGGCGTCGTTGGGCTGGCCGGGCTTGGGCAGGCGGTCGGGCGTGCCGGTGTGGCCCTGCGTAAGATGCAGGGGGGCCACGTCGTTGATGCCCATGTCGTCCCCAACCTGACTGAGCGAGCGTGCACAATACGTTGAATGGTCACTTTCGTAGGTTGTGGCCATAGAGCGACATTGCAAGTGCTCGTTTGAGCGAGTTTGGAGGTGTTTTAGGATCGGGTGGCTGAGCGCGCGTGCTCCGCGCATGCCTAATCGGGGAGTACCCCTTATCAGACCGGTCCCAGCCGGGAAAGATACCTTACAAGGCAGCTTGTAATCTAATCACCTTTCAAGCTCCGCAAACATTTTCCGACATCCTTCCCAGCTCGAGCTTCGCATGCTCGAAGAAATGCGGAGGCCCGTCTGCCGACAAACGCTATATTCAAAAACTATCACCCGACCTCGTTCAGCTTACTGACCAACTTTCGTACCCAGCATTATAAATAATGGCCCCAGTCGAGTCGAAGAACTTTACCCAGGCGACGAACCACCTCACTCCTGAACCATCGCGCTCTCTACGACCATGCCATCCACCAAAGCACCCCCTTCCGATTCCAAACTCTCTCAGCCACTCCAAGTCGGGGACATTGGTCTGCTGGGCCACAGGATAGTGATGGCACCTCTCACCCGCTACCGTGCCAACTCGGCACACGTCCACACGGACGACCTCGCGCTGCCCTATTACACTCAACGCGCATCTGTTCCTGGGACATTAATCGTGTCTGAGGGAACTTTCATAGCTCCGAGAGCTGGTGGATTCGCGAATGTGCCTGGAATCTGGTCGGATGAGCAGTGTGCTGCTTGGAAGAAGGTACGTACACGGCGAAAACCACGATGTGATCATCATGACATGCACCTCACTTTTGCATATCTACCTGAATCTGATTTTTGTTGTACTTCTCAGATCACAGACTCCGTACACTCTAAAGGCTCATTCATCGTCATTCAACTATGGGCAATCGGACGCGCCGCCGATCCTTCCCAACTCGTCTCCGAAGACCCGTCTTTCAAAGACGCCTACATCAGCGCCGGCGACGTCCAACTCACTGGTCAACCGATTCCGCCACGCCCTCTGACCGTGCCTGAGATCAAGGAGTATGTGGACTGGTATGCGAAGGCGGCGGAGAATGCGGTGAAGAAGGCGGGGTTCGATGGGGTTGAGGTACATGGGGCGCACGGGTATTTGGTGGATCAGTTCTTGCAGGATAGGACGAACAATAGGACTGATGAGTACGTATTTTTCCTTGTTTCTTGATAGATAGAGACGGTGGGAAGAAGAAAGACTTACACTGGGCTTGCAGGTATGGTGGAACCATAGAGAATAGGTCACGGTTCGGGCTGGAGGTTATCGAGGCTGTTACGAATGCGGTTGGACAAGGAAGGGTCGGCATCCGATTGAGTCCATGGTCGACTTTCCAGGGTAAGCCACACATCCACATGGTGAAAGACTCTTGAGAGATTTTGTTGCGTCGTCTGATGCGAACGTGGCGTTAAAATATGCAGAGATGCGGATGGAGGACCCCAAACCTCAGTTTTCCCACTTTGTGACTCAAATCCAAGAGCGTTACCCCGACTTCGGGTACGTTTTCTAGCACCCCAAAACTCCCAAACCATCCGCTCTCCATCGACTATGCTCCAACTCGTTCCATGTCCTATATGCTCACTCGTCTCATGCTGGGTTTAAACCTTTCCAGCTTCATTCACGTCGTGGAACCCCGTGTAGCCGGAAACATCGACCGCATTCCTAGCGATGGGGAATCGAACGACTTTCTCCGCGAGATCTGGGGCTCGAAGCCATACATCGCCGCAGGTGGGTTTTCGGCTGAAGATGCTGTCAAGGTCGCAGAGGAGAAGGGCGGGTTGGTCGCGTTTGGGAGGCATTTCATCTCTAATGTGCGTAATCCTCTTTACTTCTCCGGAGTCGACGATCCTCTTTGCCCTATACCGCTCTCTTCTTCGTAGTCATCTACTTGCCCTCTCATTTGCACCGAAGCTGACCGCGTACTGACGTCTGTTCGCCTTAGCCCGACCTCCCATTCCGAGTCAGAAAAGGCATCCCGTTCACGACGTACAACCGTTCGACGTTTTACGTCGTTGGATCCACTACCGGGTATCTCGACTATCCCTTCTCTGAAGAGTTTGAGAAGGAGCTGAATGGCCATGGGAATGGTGTCGGCAACGGCGCTCATATGTTAGTGAAAACTCGGAACTTTTTACGAAAGCTCTTTGGCTGATTGAGCAGATTTTCTGCCAACAAGGACTAATGGGAACGCGGATGCGAAACACTAAATACTGAAGATTAGGTTACAGAATTGAGTTATGCAATGTACCACTGTAGAGAGATGTTTTGTTTGCATATAAATTGTCGTCTTCTTCTTCGTTGTGATCATGACGGGAAATTCGAATAAATGTGCTATGCCGCTTGCGTGCGAGGGCGCCACAAGACAGGGGTACCGTGCCACACCGGCAATCGTTGCAGCCGGAGCCGGAACCTTCTGAGCAAAAAGTTCACGTCGCTCTGCTCCTCTCTATTTCCCCAGTCATCCGTTCCGCTATTTACTCCCAGATCTCAATATTTCAATTGTAGGCCTTGAGAATTTCTCCTGAAATCCACAGTCCATACGGCTCTACTCGCATCTGAAAAGAATTTCAGGATGTATGATGAGTTCGGGCAGAAAACCGCCCATGGGCTCGTACCGCCGGCGTTCACATCTGACGAAGACGAAACTTCGTGGATCTGTAAGTTTTGTTCAGTTGGGTCGGTGATGACTGTACAATCCCTCAACGAGGTGAATCGGCCAATACGATCGGCAGGGATATGTGGGTGAGTTAACCGGAAGACCTGTTTCATGGAGTATGTTCGTTCACCTTCGACTCGGAGTCCAAGTGCTTCAGTTCAACATCAGCCCGTTCCAAAGTCCATGACTCCGCTCAAAATGGAACGGAGTATGTCTATATACAGGTTGGCTTCACTCTACACGTATCTCTCCGTTGATAGAAAGGCTCTAGCAAGTTCTGCGGTATGCTAGTGATAGCCTCGGGCAAGTGCCCGAGGCGCTTGAATAGATGCCGGTCGACCAGCAATCCTCCACAAACATCTTCCGTCGATGCCACCTTTCCGAGGCCTCGAGCTCGAGCACGTCTTCGCAGTTACCCACTCAAACGTTTAATAGTTGCCCCGACCATTGGGATTACTCAGTTCAATGTCTTTGTAACCAACTTCCCCGCTGATCGTCGTCGATCGTAGGTAGAAAATTGCAACATGCGGGGCAATAGCCCCTGGAATCCATATAAAAGGACGGCGCCGTGTGCGTACAATTTCATCGTTAACACTCCTTCCTCCCTCTCGTCGTCGCATTTTCCCTACACCACAGTCACCACTTACTAAACATGTCTTCCGCTTCGTCGTCCAAACTCTTTCAGCCCATCAAATTCGGCGATGTTACTCTGCAACATCGAGTTGTCATGGCTCCTTTGACCCGTTTCAGGGCTAACGAGAGGCATGCGCATACTGAGCTCGGTGTCGAGTATTACACTCAACGTGCCAGTGTCCCTGGAACTCTCATCATTGTGCGTTTGCTTTCGATTCACACATTTCGTTGTGGCGTTGTGGCGCTCACGCGTAAGGATTGCGCTCTTCGTTTGTTCTCATAGACGGAGGCCACATTTATCTCCCCCCAGGCAGGAGGATACGCTCATGTTCCTGGGATTTGGTCGGAAGAGCAGATCGTTGCTTGGAAGAAGGTCTGTTATCCTTGACTTTGTCAACTCTTCGTCTCCCTTCTCTGCCTGCTCACTCGATCTTATCCTTTGCTCTCAGATCACCGACGCGATCCACGCCAAAGGCAGCTACGTTGTCATGCAACTCTGGGCTCTCGGACGCGCCGCCGACCCCTCCCAACTCACCTCCGAGGATCCCTCATACACCTACCACTCGTCATCCGACATCCGTCTCGACGACCGGCCAGCAGACTCTCCCGCCCCTGTACCGCTCACCATCCCCCAAATCCAGCAATTCATCCAATGGTACGCTACTGCCGCGTCCAACGCCGTGCACAAGGCCGGATTCGATGGCGTCGAGATTCACGGCGCGCATGGGTACCTGATCGATCAGTTCACCCAGGATACCTGCAATAAGAGGACGGATGCGTATGGTGGGAGTGTGGAGGGGAGGACGAGGTTCGGGTTGGAAGTCGTGGATGCGGTTGTGGCCGCGGTCGGTGCGGAGAAGGTCGGGATCAGGTTGAGTCCTTGGTCGCCTTGGCAGGGTACGTTTCGTTCTTTCTTCCCGATTTATCGGATGGGTCAGGTTGTGGAGCGCAACTGATTCTTTTCATTATGCTGGTGTAGGAATGCGTATGACCGACCCTGTTCCCACGTTCACCCATCTCGTCCAAACCATCAAGAATAAGCACCCCAAGTTCGGGTACGCCTTGCTTTCTCCATCTCCCTCTCTGCCCTTCACATAACTAAAATGCACCTTCATGCCTCTCCTCCCATCCAGCTACATCCACGCCGTCGAACCACGTCTGGCAGGTATCGCCGACCGTGATCCCACGGCCGAAGAATCGAACGACTTTCTTCGTAAGATCTGGGGCGAAGGTCTTTACTTGGCCGCTGGTGGTTTCACTCGCGAAGACGCCATCAACACTGCGGACACGAAGGGCGGCCTCGTCGTCTTTGGGAGGTACTTCATCTCCAACGTAAGTGTCGATACTCTACTACTCGTTCCGTTCTTCGTGTTTCCGTTCCTGTATTCCGTGTCTGTGCTAACTATACGATGTATTGCCCGGAATAGCCCGACCTACCCCGCCGGATCCGCGACAACATCCCGTTCACGAAGTATGACCGCAGCACTTTCTACGTCGACAAACCTACACCGAAGGGATACACCGACTACGCATTCGCTGAGGAGACGGCGGGTGAGAAGAAGGATGCAGATGCTAAGTATCCCATCGACGGGTCTGAGGCGAAATACTCTGCATGAAGAGACTGTGCGGGGCCGGAAGCATAGAGAATCCGTCTTCGTTGGATGACCCTTATTGTGACGCAGATGATTCATTAGACAATGCTGTAGAGCAATGTGGTTATTGACAAAGTATATTCTAGGCACTGTATCGAGCTATACATACATATAATTAGACCGTGACGTAGCGACGTGATAGACATATCGTACGTTAACACCCACTGCGGTTCAATACGCCCAAATGAGCTGTATTTCGCTTATAGATCTAAGTCTAAGAAAGCTCAGCATTCTACACTAATTTATGGTGTACTGGTATTGTTGTGGTGATGAGAGAAGTCGGGCGTGATACAATTTTAAGCGTAGACCACGAAGTGATGAACACGGTGGATGCAAACAGCCAAGGGGGTGGCAGGAATAAAATAAAAAACCGGATGTAGGGGGGGGAGGGGGGCCCGGAGGGCCCTTAAACGCGAACTGTCCGGACATCATGGAAGGTCCTACGGCAGCCATTTGGAGGGTTCCTGGGGCACATATATGATTATCTGTGTACACAGTGCTGATAAAACTGTGAATAGGAGATGGTTTAAGTGTAAAAAAGATGATAATGGATATTTTTAGGCTAGGTTAAGCTACGGTCGACGTCGGTCATCCCCTCCCCTAGCCTAGGCTAGGTTAAGCTACGGTCGACGTCGGTCATCCCCTCCCTAGCCTAGGCTAGGTTAAGCTACGGTCGACGTCGGTCATCCCCTCCCTAGCCTAGGCTAGGTTAAGCTA